ATTGCATATACCTATCCACAATGTATAAGTATTTTAATGCTGAAAGTTCAAGTTTAATTCATTAACTTTGTATGATATGTCACTTGTAACCTCTCTATTTTGTATAATGATATTTTTCATCATTTTACTTTTTAAAATATCACTTTAATTTCATCTCTTCAACTTTGTAAAATGTCACTTTTACCTATTTATTTTCTAAACTTTTGTGATTATCTTCTGTTTCTGTAGTGTGTGTATATATATATATATATATATATATATATATATATATATATATATATATATATATATATATATATAATATGATTTTTCCTCATACACGTTCCTAATAAGCAACAAAAACACAAAAACTCATGGTAAAACACGAACTCAATTACTAGTTTATATATAATGGGTACTAAAGTAGTTTTGCTTAGGTTAAAAAAAAAATTTCGAAAATGTTCAATTATTCAGACAACCAATTTTTTATGTGGGTGGTCAGAGACGCCAAAACCGTTACAATGAATCTCAAATAACTCACGTCATGCATCCTAATTCATGAGGTCTAGATCATTCTAGAGAGGTATGTATGAGAGTATGTTTGTGATACCATTGAGGTTTTTGTGGTATTAGGAGCCTCACATAGCAAGAAAAGGATGGAGAAGTCGATAAATAAATAGATGACAAAATGAGGAGGAAACCAAATAGTTAAATCGCCCTAATACCATGATACACAAAATTATTTCTATGTAATCTCTCTCTTCTCATTAAACGTTACATATACAAAACACATAGAAATTTCCAAAATAGAGTAAATCACTTGATTCACAGAAAACCCATTACAAATTCACAACTTCAAGAACTTTAGAGTAGAAAACCATATTCCAATTTGACATTTGAAAGAATCCAATATCAACTCTCTCTCTAATTTCTACTCAAAAAGAGGCCAAAAATCCAAATACATCATTACATCACAATTCACAAGCTACAAACATGAAGTTTTAATAACAAGAAAACGCACATAACTTTCAATTACAATTTTTGATCATTTCATGAAGCAACAGTAATCGCTTCTGTTTTCTTCTCTCTTTCCTTAATATCTTTTTTCCATTTTTCCACACTGTCAATTATTTCCCCAGTTTTCACCAAAAACCTCACCCTTTTACCATCTTCCAAAATCTTATGGCCCACACGACTCGCAACATTTTGTTCTTTTGAGTATAACATCACATTTGAGCTATGAATAGGCGCTTCAATCTGTGCCCAAAACATAAAAAGAAATTATTGATAATAAATTCAATAATCAATATCAAGTTTTTGTAGAGGATATGAAATTTGAACCTTGATTATCTGCCCTGATTCACCCTCTTCTTTGCTCTTCACATGTTTGGTTTTCAAATTAATTTCTTTGACAACTACAGTGCTATTGTGCTTTGTAATTTTGGTAATTTCGCCTATTTTGCCCTTGTCACGTCCTGCTATTACTTTAACAGTGTCCCCAAGCTTCACATGCATTTTGTGCACTATTGGAAGACTGTTTGGTTTGCATTTTATCCTCTCCCATCTCTTAAGCTGCAAAAATTAAATTTGGAATTACAAAATATGTATATAAGCATCTCAATGTCTTCTATGCAATTTCAAAATTGGAAAAAAAGAAGAAAAACTAATTGATAGTTAATACCAACCTTTGCTTGGATAGGAGGACATGGTGCTTTTGTAGACTTCACCTGCATATGAGTTGTATGTAAGCTTCTTATACTAATCTTTTAGCATCCCATTTGTTTAACACAAGTAGGTGTAAGACCAATGTGTTTAATCAAATTCAAGATCAATAAGTTTTGTTGACTTTACAAAATTATAGCTGTTTGAGCCCTAGAATTTGTAGAGAATTGAAGATAGTTGTGGGGAACTGGAGGTTAAAGATCCATGAAAGAGGACACAATCTACAAATTGATAACAAATGTTATTAAATCATGGAGATTGTGTAATTTGTGGTTTTGTATCAGAAAATTTCAAGTTTGTATGATGATTGCATTGATTTTGCTGAAACGAATTCATTTCGGAAATGTAACACTTAGATGTTGTGTTTCGTTTCATTCTAAAGGATATAAGTGCTTCTACAAATTACACAAACTTCAAAACGAGATAATGACAATAATCTCGCAACATTTTTCTATTACATTCCTGAAACCAAAAACCAAAACAACACATCCAGTTGCTCACAAATGCGAACAAAGGATGATGATAATTCGACACCAAAAAGTAAAAATTGCATAACATATACACAATTATAACAGAAAACACAGTCTGGGGCGCTGGATTCACGGAGTTCTAAGGTACAGAACAATTTCTGAAACGAATTCGCTAAGAAAGTAGAATCGAGGGGAAGAAAAGGTGTACCAGAGGTGAGGAAGGACACGGCGATAGACGTTGGCCGAGAAAGGATTTGGATGAGAGAGAAAGAGCGGTAAATGAGCTCTGTAGAGCAGCCATGGCCACCATTTTTACCCGTGATTTGCTTCAACGAAGGTGCACCAGATTTCAGAGCAATTTTATCCTGATAGATGGTTGGAGAATGGAGACTGAAACTAGGAAGACTCAAAAGGATAGAGCTTGATATCAGATAAGTGGGCCAGGCCCCTTAATGAGCCCAAAATACTTTGAAAACATATAAGGCCCAATATGATATTGTACAAGCATTTGTCAAACTCAAATGGGTCATATTTGAATTCCTTTATCTATATTTCCGTTTTAGGAGATCTTGGGCTTTTTATTAATCTTTTTAACCCTCTATATTGTGTATAAATAGGTATGGGTTTGTTTAGGTTTTTACAATCAGGGTGAACATTTTGAACTTTGGATTGGATCCGAATCAGATTTAGATTTGGATTTGGTAAGCCTCAAAATGTCCAGTCTAATATTTATCAATTTCTGTAAAACAGGTCGGTTCCAAGAATCAGTCCGATCTAAATGCTCACTTTTATGTCTAAGAATCGGGAACCGAACATTGACCTAGAACTAGTAAAGCTTTAACAGGTTTAATCGAAGGCCCAACAATTTCTGTAAAACCGGTTTGGTCCAAGAGTCGGTTCGGTTCGATCCTGTCTAAATGCTCACTCATGCCTCAAAGAATAACATTTTTAAGCTCGTGTTCTAACAAATGTCATGTTTCCATATTTTTATATTTCGAAATCCTGGTTTTTCATATTCCATGTTTATTACAAAAAAATCAAGCTTCATAAATTTTATAAAGATATATTTTACAATGGTTGGAACAATTTTATTCTAAACGTTTGAAATTTTAATTTTATAAAAGTTCCATAGAGAGTGATATAATCAAGCTGTTTGTTATTTATATATGCAAAACGATTAAAAAAAACTCCGTACATATTATTGTTAGCTTTTAAATATATAAATTAACTATAAACTAAAACCTAAAAGTTTTACAAAAAGCTTTTTTATTAAATTCTTATTGTTTAAAATGAAAACTAAAAATCGCTTTTGGATTTAGATTTTTTTGTTGTTTAAAATAAAGGGGGAATGACTTATAAGGGTAAGGATGTTTCTAAAACATTAAAAAAATACCATTCAAATTTTCTTTATTTAAAAAAGACCATCCGACTAAAGTCTTTGTATAAAAAACACCAACCAAGTATTATTTTGTTCAAATATCAGTAGGACCGACATCTGTAGGTAAGATGAAAAATGTTACCTGCAAAAAATTAATAGATGGAAAATAAAAGATGACATGGCATTAGGAACGTCTTACGTGGATTAAGAGATACAAATCAATCATCTTTGACTTGATCGGATGGAGTGAAGCACAAAAGCCCACAAAGTTGTGTAGGGTTCGATCAACCCTCATTTAGTGAAATCAAATTTTACAGGCGATCGATTTATGTTGCATTTATGACTAAATTTCCACCGTTTGCGGGTTCTGCTGTAATTAAGACCAAATTGCCCCTCTTGTTACTTCCTAGTATTACTCAAGATTGTCCATGTATTGATTTGAGAGGTCTGATGCAATAAATGAAAGTAGAATTATATTGCTTGTATATTACTTTTCTCATTGTCAAAATGTTTGAAATTAGAGGTCTGTGGTTTTTGAGAGGATTGGATACATTATGAATGGCTTAATATAAAGTTTTGATTGAAAAAATTAAAGTAACAACATTTCAGAATACAATTATGCCATTTTTTTCAATTGAATTTGTGTCCCTTTATTAAATGGTTTAGTATAAAAAGTTTTATGAGGTCCTTGATAAAAAGTTTTGAGTTCTGAGTACAATTATGTCCTTTTGTCATGCACCTTATTAAGCTCAACATTGGTGCTGCCAAGATCATGGTTGCTGTTGTTTCTAAACAACTTCTTGATTTATGTGCAGGAAGAAACATCACCCACATTTATGAAGAACGATACCAAGCAATCATAGGAGACGAGAAGAAGAACGATAGAGACGAAAAGAGGAATTCGTTCATGAATGAAGCCCTAATACCATTAATGAAGGAGCCAAGAGGAGTACCAGTTACATCCATATCACTCACATTTATGTCATGTCAATTAGACCACATTAGCATTTAACCGGTCACTAGTAGGTCATATTTCAACAAAATGAATATTTAGTTGGTGTTTTTTATACAAAACCTTCGGTTGGATGGTCTTTTTTAAACAAAGAAAACTTTAATGGTGTTTTTTGAACATTTTTTAAATAATCTTACCCACATTTTCCCTAAAATAAAAACTAAAATCTCTTCCTACCAAATGTACTTTTTTTTTTTCTTAAAAACTAAAAGGTTCAAAAACCCGTTACTAAACAGTAAACACACCCAAATAACTCTAGTCAATTCCCAAACATCAAATATATTAACACGAAAATAGAAATCAAAACTAGTTTTTTTTTTTCCTCCATTTCTGTTTTTCACTCTTATATCCAATATTTTCTATTACTATACAAAATTGGACCATACCAATTACCAAGAACCAAACATAAAATTTACAAAACGCAAAACAAACTTCCCCACTCAACACCCCACACACACACACACCAAAACCTAAACTATAAAATATAATACAAAACCAAATTAAAAAAAAAAAAAAAAAGGATGATTTTGTCATTTTACACTTGCTCAAGGGAGTCGGCTGTGCTATCTACAGACTCCAACCGGCGATGTTGGCTGTTCATCGGACTCCGGCGACCTAACTCATCGACATTGAGAGCAATCTCATCTCCGGCGAGAGAAGAATCACGTCTATGATGGGTTTTGTTATGCCTTGTGGTAAGAATACGCGATAATATCTGCACGATGTCCCTCATTGAAGGTCTTTTTTTCGGTGAACGATTGATGCATCTGTACGCAAGCGCTGCGACGTCGTTTACCTCCTGTTCATCGAAGTTTCCTTCCAGACGAGAATCCACTATCTCTTCCCATCCCACTTTCCCCTCCGTATTCATCGCCGCCTACACAACAGTTTCTATATATTATTATTATTATTATTTAAATTAAATTCATAAATCAATTCCATATCATATCATATGAAACTATATTTCTATGTATTTAAATATTTCTTAATGTATTGCCACGTCATCATTGGTAATAACAGCTTACAAGTTCAACATACTCCATGAGACCCTGTTGAGGGTTTCTTCCAGCAATAAGCTCAAAAAGTAAAACCCCAAAGCTATAAACATCACTTTTTTTAGTAAAAGTTCTTGTTGATATATATTCAGGATCAAGATACCCAAAAGTCCCTTGTATATTTGAAGCATTTCTATTAATCATATCCTCCCTTGAAAGTCCAAAATCAGCAACCTATTTCACACGAACAACATAATTCATATCTTTTTAAATAAATAAAAGTTTTAATTAAAATTAAAATTAAAAAAAAAAAACTAACCCTAGCTCCCATCGACTGATCCAACAAGATGTTAGAAGACTTTATGTCCCTGTGTATGACTGGAGGAGTAGCCTGGAGTTTAAAAAATAAAAATCAATAATTGATATAATATAAGTTTAAAGAAAAAGAAATTAAAAATTAAAATATGAGCTTACTCCATCATGGAGATATTCCAATCCCCTAGCTACATCCAAAGCTATTTGAACCCTCAAATCCCAGCTTAATAATTCATGGTTTTCACCTGAAAATAAAAGTAAAAAACAAGTCATATATGGATTTGTGTGAAGTACATTGTATCTAATTATATAAAAAAAGTTGGATGATGAATTACTGTATAAATGTGAAGCTAGACTTCCTTTGCTCATGTAGACATATATGAGCATATGTTGCCCCTTTTCAGCACAATATCCTACCAAATTCACAAGGTTTCTGTGATGTAATCTTCCCAATAACATAACCTATAAAGAATATTACAGGAGTAAGATTTAAGATGTAATTGATGTATGCTTCAATGGTGTTGATGTTTGATTATATGATAGTTGATACCTCTGTGTGGAACTCTTTCTCGCCTTGTTTTGAATCGGTTGCAAGAACTTTAACAGCAACTGCTTCACCAGCAGTCATTTGAGCTTTATAAACAGGGCCAAATGCCCCTTGGCCTATCAATGAAGTGAAATTGTAGGTTGCTTTTTGAAGATCTCTGATTGATCAAGAAAAGAAAAAGATGATGAAAAGGAGAGAGAGAGAGAGAGAGAGAGAGAGAGAGAGAGAGAGAGAGAGAGAGAGAGAGAAGGAGAAATGAGAGAATAGATGCTAGATTTAACTTACTTGTAGGAATATTCAAGAATTCCTGAAGCAGCAACTACATGACCCTTCTTTACTCCACTAAACCATACTGGGATGCCGGTTTGGACAGATGTTCTTGATGATTCTGTCCCCATTGATGAGTCTGATAAGATCGTACAAGTATCGGCACCATTTGTACGGATGGGGATTTTTGCTGCTCTCCTGGAACTGCTGTTGCCTATTTGAGGTCGTTTCCGGTGATATCTGAAGCAAAGTAGTCCGATTATGGCTAAAAGCGCTCCGATTACCACTCCGATTGAGATCCCGATGATCAAACCAGATGACCTCTCTCTCATCTCTTTTCTGGAGGTTTTATGTTTCGTATCCACGCAACCATCAACACACCTGTGGAAGTGGTAGAAAAAGTAAATTTAAAGCGGATCAAGGAGGAAGAAGGAAGAAGGGAGAAACAGATTTGTGAATGGACGAATGCTTCAATTTCATTGACGCGACAAAATAGAAATGAAAAACATGTAAATCATGTTTCGGATGAAGGAAAATTGAACTGTTCAAATGCTGAATGATTCGTGAAGAAGTTTATAATTAGGAAAGTAAATCTTCCATTAAAGAGTGCTAAAAAGAGCAATCGTTGAAGAAATTAATGCGATTCTTACTTTTCTCAACACGAAACATGATGAAAAGACCAAAATACGAACTCGTGGTTCATTATTTCCTATCATATAGATCTTCTTTTACTGTTCGAAAGCCAACAAAGGACTCTAACGTCATTAGTCACTAGACAAATCAAACTCGTCAAAATCAAAGAAGAACAGTGAAGAAAAACAAAATCAAACTGAATGAGACCCCAATTATACATAAAACACGTGCAGAAGGTAAATCGAAACAGGAAAACAACTACAAAATCATGCGCATGGTAATGTGAATGATTAACGGGAGTTTAGTTGATGATTTACCTGATGTGATGATGTTCTCAATACCAGTTAACTTTATTGAAGAATCTGAAGGAAGAAGGTAAAGGAATCTGTGAGTTGAAGCAAATACAAGATCCGGTTTTAGACTCGCCAAAACAAATACTCCACAATGCTCGAGGAACAAAAATGGCGAATTTCAAAAGAAAGATAGAGTAAAGGAGTCGTATGTGGTTGATTTTTGCAAGAATTTTTCTATGTTAGTTTAAGAACAATTCTTTTTTCAATATATAATTTTTTTTCTATCGAAATACAACGAAACCCCAAATTTTGTTTAAAATTATTTTACATTCAAATTTTGTCTAAATTTAAGTTTTATGGTTTTTTTTTTTTTTTATAACAAGTTATTACAGCAATATATTTTCATTTTAAAATTCAATTAGAAATCATACAATAATATCATACGGGTTGGGTAAATAAAACAAAATATAAAACAATCACAGGACATTAATATAAGATATCAATAACATAAAATATACGTAAATGATAACAAATATTATATAAAAACTTTATGAATAATAAAATATAATACGTTAAATTTTAACCGCTTATTTCTTTTGATATACATTAAAATAAAAAATGAAAAATAAATAAGTTAGTTAGATACATGTTAAAATGGATGTCGATCAAATTGATTATATTTTATGAATCAAAAATAGAGTTATATCGAGCTGACAACTACTTTAATTTTTTAATATTGATCAATTAAATATAATTTTCAAAATCTGTGTAATAGAAATATAATAATGCATTGGTGATAAACAAGTTTGTAAATGTTTAATGTATTCAAAAGAATTAATTTATATATATTTCGTTCTTGATATACTTGGTTTCTTTGTACAAATGTTGTGAATCTTTTATGTGAATTAGTTTCGTCATCTAAAAAATACTAGCAACGCCCTTTGTTATCCATTTATCTACTACGTCTGTATCAAACTTTCATTTCATGTTGAATGAAATTCCGATTGTTAAAAAAATGTATTTATATACAACTTATTTAACTTCGTTCTGAATAATACAATATACACATATATACATATGACAACTATGGCCTTATCATAATTATCTACGTTGGTAAAAGTTAAACCCCGCCCATAGTAAATTTTTAAAGAAATTACGTAATTTTTTTTTTTTTTTTTTTTTTTTTGTAAAAGATTAGATTTTTATTTTGAAAAATGACCATTTTTCAGACTCAAATTTCAAAATGAGTAACCGGTTAAAATGATTTGACCTGGAAATTTGGTCCCCCCATATATAATTGTCGGATCTCATTTTTGAAATCACTTTTTCAGATTTTATCTCGAACTCACTATTCATGACTACATCAAATTCAAAAAATATCTTCTTCTAGCAGTGAAGAGATTCACTTGTTGTGGGTATATATCGATTCTTTTTATGATTAGATGTTTTTTTGTGAATATATATTAAAAATAAGATATTCTCGTTTTTTTTGTATGAATTGATGTGATTACATAGCTATAAACCGTTTTCCTTTGAATTTTAGTTGTTTTAAGGCTTTTGTATGATTATATGTAGGTATATATGTGCACTAGAACAGCTACAAAATTTTAAAGAAAAAAAAAATCAGTTCATAACAACTCACGAATACGAAGAACAAATTCGAAATGCGAAGAACATCCTTGAAATGTGCAGAATTGTTCCAGAATGGTGTTATGGAATGTTGTTTGTCCTGAACACAGACATTGTTCTTGGGGTATGATGTCTTGCCCAATATTTGTAGCATTTGGAAGTCAATGGAGAACTTGGAGTTCGATAAAGCATGTAACAAAGAAAATGATCATAGTAAAAGGGGTATAGAGCACCTTCGGAAGGAATGGAACATCTTAGAATGTTGGATGTGTCATTTAGGAAAAGGGTGTGCCACCTATAGACAAGATGTGTCATCGTGATGAAGGATGTGCTAATGGAAATTAGTGTTTATAGTCATAACAAGTTCAGTGATATTACTATAAATAATAGTGTCTTTTTGTATTACACACAAAAAATAAGATAGAACTTAAAATATATTTATATGAAGGACTTGTTTGTTAAATAATTAATAGTTTAATTAATTAATCAGAAACAATGAAATATAGAATATTCCATAATGATTTGAGTTTCATAGATAATTATTATAATATTTGGTAATTATCTTTTGTAACACCTCATTTTCATCTTATAGTATAAACAACCAGTTACGTAAATAGACATTTTTAATAAATGACTATTTAGGATAAATAATCTTGATGAAAGCCAAAATAATCATAAAAGCGAGAACATGCATAGAAAGAACGTCGAAATTTGACTTTGTAGGAGTAAATTATGATTTTTAAAAGTTTCAGTATAGCAGTGTGCGACATAGAAACCGAAAAATTAATATCGGTTGATTATTAGGAAAAACAATCTTAACGAGAGTTGAAGATCTTGTCGATACCTATCAGTTGATATAAAGACGATCGAGAACAAATATCGTATGAAAGAGTTATGATTTTTATACAGATTTTTATAGTTTAAGCCTATAAAAATATAACTTTAAAAATAAATTGAGAATTAGTCAATCGAGTCTAAATGAAACTTGTTGATCTCGTCGATAGCTATGCGTGAATATAAAGAACATCACAAACGGATCTCAGATGAAAAAGATACAGATTTTTGAAGAGTGTAAAATTTTCTCGCGCGCAGACAAGGTGCGCGGTGCGCAAAGATAACCTGACGCAACCCACCAAGTTGTTCCCATATGTCAGCATACGAGAGGAGCCACATCACCAGAGCCGACAAGAGGTGTGACGCTACTCTATAGTGTGCAGCATGCCTCCCTACTATAAATAAAGTGCTCCGATTTCATTTGTTTCTCACCCCTATTTCACTCCAAAAACTTTCTAAGAACCCCAATTAACTTTCGGGTCAGAGTTATGTCCACGACTTTTCTAGTTTTCGCTAGGATCCATGTAAGTTAAGCTACGCTTTAAGTGTAACTTAGATTTATATTCACAATCTTTGTTATGGATATATAAATAAGATTCATCAGTAATTCTAGTTATAGTACCGATTGATCTACTTACAGGAGAGGTGTATAGAATGGTCGCGTTGGCTTGGTTATTTGTAACAACCCAATTTTCAAAAGAAATTTTTTCATTTTTAAATAGTCAAAAACATTTTCCATAAACCATAAAATCTCAATTAAAATTGTTTTCAAATTCATAACGATAACAATATAATTCCAATCATCAGAGTGTCCCATAAAAATGCCTGAGAGAGAGTGCATGTCACGTCATCAAGCATTGCCCTTGCCCTTGTCCTTAGGCTCAGAGGTACCTGAAACAAATCCACAAACTGTAAGCTAATGCTTAGTGAGTTCCCTAGAGTATACCCCACACAATCCACATAAGTACATAATCATATTAGCTATAAAAGCTACACAATCCACATAAGCCATGCATACAACATATAGGGATTTCGTGGGATCGTCCCCAGGGTCTTACTCCAGGATGTCATGGGCTCCCCACATGGTATTACACCTAAGTGTCATGGGCTCTCCCATGGTCTTTAATAGGAAAGCCATGAGCTCTCCACATGGTCTTACATCCGGTTGTCATGGGCTCTCCCATGGTCTTTAGTAGGAAAGTCATGGGCTCTCCACATGGTCTTACATCCGGTTGACATGGGCTCTCCCATGGTCTTCCATACAAGCATACCACATATACATCTAGCATACTTCCTAGCACATAATCAACTATCATGCCTTACCATATAACTTCAGCTAGTATACCACATATCATAAAATAGGCCGACATTGGTGCCTTTGACCCATTGGTATGGTGAGGAGACTCACCTCTCGTGAATGTTGAACTGACAAGCTAAGATCAGATAAATCCCACACTCTGCTCCAACTCAACTGCCTATAATCATCATGTAAATAACTTTTCACAATCCCGAGATATCGTAAATATCCTCAAAGTCAACCCTGGTCAAAGTCAAGGTCAACGATCATGGTCAACAGTCCATGTTGAGCTCAACTCGTCGAGTTACCTGAGTAACTCGTTAACTCGCCGAGTTACCTGTGTGACTCGTCAAGTTCCTTAATGTCTAGAAGACTGAAAACTCATGTAGACCGAAAACTCTCATCCTTCACCGAAATCACTCAGAATCTCGAAAATGGGTAAACCCTACCCAACTCGTCGAGTTGGCTAAGGGACTTGATGATTTCCTTCAGTCCTTTTCATGTTCAGACATTGTTAAGTTACCCCAAAGCTCCAGATTGCAGATTTAGCCTCCTAAGGCATGGTTTCCACGTAAAGTTGCAAAATTTATGTGCATGTAAGCTCTTAATGCCAAAACCAAGCTATGGGAGGGGTTTTAGCTAAATAGGAGGGCTAATGCTTGATAAATTCAGACGTTATAACTCTAAGGACTCAGAGGAGTTCATGTGACAACCCGATATTTCAACTGCATGTAAACGACCTAAAAAGTCAAGTATTGTAACGACGTTAGTTGTAATAAAATTTACTTCGAAAATAAAATATCCAAAAATCACTAATTAAATTACCTATTAGGTTAGATGTCATTAAACCGTGGCCGTACGTAAAAAGAACGTCCAAATCCGAGTTCGTATAAGAAGGTTAGGAATTTTTCAAGTTCGGCTTAACGGCAGACGGCTAAAAACTCGAATCAGAGATCGAGCGACTTTTGGCCGGAATGACCTAAACGAGAATTGAAGGTCTCAACAATGGTATTTCAGCGGTAAAAAGTCTGGCAAAAACCGACGTCAGATAAAGAAGTTATGAATTTCTAAAAGAAATTTTCTTACCATGACCATTTAAAAATAAATAATAAAAATAATTTCGGAATTTGCTGACGGGATCTAAACGAAAGTTGTAGAGTATGGTATCACCTTCGCGTGGATATAAAGAACGTCAAAAACAGAGTTCGTATGAAGAAGATATGTATTTTTGAAGTTTGCTAAATAATTAATATATAAATTTAATTCAAAAATCGGTATTATCAGAAGGGTGAGTCACCGGGTCCATCCGAGTTACGCGCCGCGTACAGGCGTACGCCCCGCGTACTCGAGGCCTTGGCCTCGGTTCATCCACGTCGCCCCTATGCGAGCCTACCCGTCCCGTCCCATCCGAAGCCGAAGCAGTTGAGGACTCGGTCACGCATGACGCACGAGTACGCCCCGCGTACCGAGGCCTCTCAGCCCCATATAAAAGGGATGCGAGGGTTCCGGGAACATCACACCATTTCTCTCATTTCTCTTACGTTCTTGCCTCGTTTTCCGTGCCCGTGCTACCCCGAAGCCCCAATCACTTTACTCGAGTCCCGAAGGTCGTTTGTGCTCCCGAGATTCCCGAGAATCCCGAGGAATCCACTTTCTCAAGCCGAAATTTTGTCCGGTTTTCATCCCGCAACCTCCGATCTTACAAGTGAGTTCATACCCCTATAATTCACACTTTTAAATGTTTTATGAGTACTTTTACATGCTTTTAAGGGGGGGGGGATACAAGTAAAACACTCGATTATTATCGTGTGTTATATATACTTTCACTATACGCGTTTTATCAAAGGAATCATATGTGATTTAAAACTATTATAAGAAAACTTTCATATGCAAATGATACCACGACAACATTTTATCTTATGAAATAAGAAACGATTTATGTATTTATATAAATCATATACTTTGCTTATACTACAATTCTGTGTGTCGGTTTTGGCACTACAAAAACTACACTTTTCATAACAAGTGAACATTTTTCACTAAGGGTTTATTATACAAATGAAACACACTTTTAGGAAACTATAATAGGTATAGTTTTACGAGAATACTACGAACTTTTACACACATGGAAATACTATTCCAAGAAGCTACTTTCATATACAATAACGAACGAACGTTTTCACACGTAAATCTGTTTTATACTAAGTTTTGTGAGACATTAACTTCACGTACGTTCGAGTACACATTTCAAGTCCTGTATTATATACCAGAATCCCTTGGAGGGGGAGCATGGTGTTTGTGTATAGATCTATACGGGCTTGACAACCCGCGCCCTGACTGTTAGCTACAGTCCACCATTTGGGGTGACAAACTTCAGAACATTCCAACGCCTGAAGAACGTTGTGTATAGGCATTCCTTGTCAATAGTATGGTTATAAAATTCACATAGAGTATTAAAAACACAATGATTTATGGGGTTTTTCAGACGTACTGGAAATTTTATACGTACATACATTTACTAGAAACAAACATTTGTCCTGAAAGAAGGCTACATTTATACTAGTAGAAAATATAGGATTTTCTAGGAACAAGCAAACAAAGAACAAAAACATTTCATTTCATACAAACATTGTCATTAAATACTTATGAAACTCACCAGCTTAAATGTTGATCTACTCTTTCAAAACTACTTGTATGTCCCAGGGATTCAGTAATTACAGGTAACAACCAGGTTTTGGAGAAGGGACGCTGTGGCGCCAGTTTAATTTCATATTTTGACACCATATTGTAATTGATTTTGAACATGTTCACTTTTTGTAACACCCAAAAGTTGGAAATCCAAGAAAAGAAAGAAAACCTCAATTTTAAGGGGAGACTCGGCGAGTCCAAGGAGGGACTCGGCGAGTCCGAGCGGGATCCGGGTTGAGGTGTAAGCGACCGACTCGGCGAGTCGAGCAAGGTGATTCGGCGAGTCTGGTCTAGGCAAGGAAAACCCTAAATCCGGGACTTGGAGCTTATTTAAACGCCTCATTCTCTTCCCTAAGACTCTTTTAGTGCCTCTTTCACTCAGAACAATAAACCCTAGCCGCTATAATCGTTTTAGAGCAAGATCTAACCCTTGGTGAAGCTTTTTGGAGCTTGAGAGAGAGGATAGTTATTGGGGAGCAAGAAGGGGGCCTTGGAT